AATCACAGTGCAAGTAAATCTGGGATTGGGCTGGGTTAATTCTTAGAGGTTCTCACTGCAGTGTTACAGTGGGATTAATCTAGAATGGGCTTTTTTAGTTTGTTTTTGTTTCTGATGCACTGGGCAAGGGTACTAACATAATATTAATTAGAAATAAATCTGTCCCTTGGGGGGCTACATGCACTGCCTGCATTTTTAATGTGTTTGTAGCTTTAAGACAAATGAAGCGTATTTTTCTCCTCTCATTTTCTCAGTTCCTTCCTTATTTTTGTGTAATCCTTTTGTTTTGCATTAGGAAGAATAGTTGGATAACACAAAGAATGTGTGCATACAAGCCATTTTTTTCAGTATTAGCTGAACCAGAACACACTGAATTCTTTTATTTTAAGTGTTACACTTATGTTTTGTTTCATTTGGGGTGAGTTACTGATTTCCTATTTTTCTCTTTAAAATAGCATAACATAAGCATTTACACAGAGATGTTGTTTCAACTGAAAAGAAACAACAAAAAACAAAGTGATTTCCTTTCTCATTTCAGACTTTTAGCTGATCTCAGAAAACTCATTACTGCTTTGCTCACCCTGAACATCCATTTAACATTGAGTTTATTTATTTTTCTGATAAAATTGCACTGAGTGACAACAGTAAACGAAAACTGCTATGGCCATAGGATTTCTTTCACATGGAAAGGTGTTGATGGCCTTTGCTTCGATTCCATTACTGGTGAGAACAAGAGCTATTTCTCCTAGTGAACTCCCCACCAGCATTCTCTGGGCTCATATGCAGTCTTCCAGGCTCATGAAACGGGACTGTAATGGATGCTTTCCCTTACCTCCACTTTTATATCACTTATATTGATTTAGTAATCCAGCGAACAGTATTTTTTCCATTTTCTGATCCTGGAATGCACCGAAGTGTTCTTCTGTGCTGTAGCACACCTGACTGAGACAAAAGAAGGAATGGCAGTGTTTGCAACAACTTTTCAAGTAGAGAGCCTTCTTTCCCTATCAGCCTGCAATTGCTCTACACCTCCCTTCACTCAAATTCAGGAACTGGCACAAGAATTGTTTACGGCTTTTAAAAAGCCTGCTGACTTCCTCCCATGTCAGTCTGGGTCTAGAAGCAGGCACCGTGCTGGCTGGAGCCTTGCAATTCACTTTTTGCAATTTAGATTCCCTACTCATCATCAGGAGAACCTACCGGTTTTAAGTCCCATTAATTATACACGCATTGTAGTATATATATGAGGGTAGAGACACAGCTCTAGAGAGTGCTAAGCAAAATAAAAAAATGTAAGCTAAAGAACTTCAGAAGGAAATGGGTAAACTTTGGCATAAAACTTGAGCATATTATGAGTAATATGTTGAGAAGGTTGCTATGTGGCATCACTGAAGTTGCTTAGAAATGAAGATGGAAAATAAAAATTCCTGCACCTGCAGGCTTGCAGACACCTCAGTCTTGTAACATTACTTTCAGCACGTGAGACAACCTCAACACACCACAAAGCTGGGGGCTTCTGTCAAAACAAGGGAAAGGATGGCTTGAGAGCTGTCACTTCAATCACTACTTCATACTGGGAGAATCTTTGGATTTTTATTCAGTTTTCTGTGCAGTATTCTGTGCTGTATGCTGCAGGCTCCAGGGGATATGACGGAGCCTGTGTGGTGTAAACTCTGGAGAAAAACAGGGTGATGGTTCTGCTGTACTGACTGGTGGGAGCAGTTAGTGGTGTCCCGGTGGCACCTGCATGCTGCAGGGAGCAAGGATAGGATAGGGTCCTAGTGTCTTGGTCATAGCAGATGGCAGTCTCAGATGAAATGGAGCAAGGCAGTGGATTCATGAGGGTCTCAGCATAGGCCAGTGATGGAGCCAAGGCTGGAGCTGGACCAGAAGTTTAGTAATCCCAAGCAAGAAGCCCAGAAAAGCTCTAGGGTATGTTCAGAGAATAAGGAAGAGGATAGCTCTCATCCTGGAGTCCAACTTCTATCAAAGTTTATATACCTGTAAATGCTGTGTGTTTTTTAAATGATCTTTTCTGAATAGTTTTGCTACATAGTGTTGCATGTCTGGTTTATTCATTCTACAAGTCAAAACCAATCCACTTTCTGAAACATTTCTTCCACAGATTCTCTTCTGGAATATAATCTGCTGGTGTTGGCTGTGACATGCAGCCCAATGTGGGATCTCGCCAGCTGTGCTAGATACTCCTTGGGATGAGATGAGTCTTATATACATTTTGTGCAAGGTTCCTAGAATATAAAATCAGGTAGAATCAGAATAGAAGAGGTCAAAGGGGTGAAAATGTCCCTGGTTCCCTTTCATTCAGATCCCTGCTGTCCTGTTCCAGAAACCAACATAGCTTACCTTGAAAATGCATTGGTCCTGTACCCCTTTTCAGTTTGGTAAAAATGACACCAGATGATTTGTTTCCAGGGGACTTCCTAGCCAAAAGCAGGGGGAACAAAAAGAGCAAAGAGACTCCACTCAAACTCTGTGAAGCTGCCATTATATGTGAGGACTGGGATACAATTCATCATAGAATCATAGAATCATAGAATGGCTTGGGTTGGAAGGGACCTCAAGGATCATTAAGTTCCAATTTGCCTAGAACAAATACTAGACCAGACTGCCCAAGTTCCTATCCAACCTTGCCTTCAAAACCTCCAGTGATGAGGCATCCACAAAGTCCTTGGGCAACCTGCCACCTTACCACTATCTCAATAAAAAGCTCCCCCCGACATCTAATCTAAATCTCCCTTCCTTTAGTTTAAAACCATTTCCCCTTGTCTGAAAGAGAACATTTTGCCCCAGCTCCCTTGATCTCACAGCTGTCCCATGCCCAAACATCTCTAAGGGTAAGACTGAATTTGCATGAATATAACCACCTCTCAGCATTACTTGTCTTTAGTTAGAAGACAGTGAATGCTTTGTTGAAAGGGCATGTTAACCAAAGCATGTCATGAGTTCATGCTGAATTCACAGATGTCTTCATGTTAAAACAAAATATTATTTAAAAAAAAAGAATAGGAATGTTTAATTTGTCACTTTCAAAATCCAGTGCTTTGATTTTTCATTTTAAAATGAGTATCCACTTCCAAAGGTACTTCAAGATTATTTAAATCACATATTAAAAAGTGGAAAATGATTGAGAAAAAAAGTGTAGAAAAATTCAATTTGTCAAAACACTTCTTAAATAGTAATTTCAGACTGACCCCAAGTCACTTTCTTCCATTAACATTTGGATTTTAAGTTAACTGAAAAAAAAAAAAGCTAAAAGTCCACTCTTTCCCTCATGACTGCAAATATTCACACACAAAAAAAGAAGAGGGCACAATAACTTGTCTGTTTCTGTACAGCTGTGAAGCATTAAGTCATCTGGCTTCATCCTTTTGTATCTCTCTATCCCACTCCTTCGGACTCACTGTTTGAAGAAGAATTGATATAATGTAAAGAACTGGTGAAAAGTAGCAAAGCATCAGAACAAAAAAATTGCAAAAAATCACTAAGTCCAGCAATTTGACCAACTCTTATTTATTAAATGTTTTGTCCACTTTTATACAAGGTATGTGACCAGGTTTTGTTCCACCAATTTTTCAAAGGACATATGTGTATTTGCATTTGCAGAAAAATATTTGATATTTTCTCTTTTTTACCAAGTTTCATCCATTTGACTAGAGAGCAGTAACATCCCAGGTGATGGGGTTTGATGGGGGCTCAAAGTGACCTCCTGCCTCCTTGGCTTCTGGGTGCTATGCAGATGTATGCCATGCACACTGTGCAATGTAACTCAACCTTCTTCCAACCACAGTCTTGGATTCTGTCTCACTTGTCCTTTATCTCTAGCAGAAGGAGGGGATACATGTATGTTGAATTACGTGCTCATATTGCTCTTATTGAACAAGCAGCGATTGTGAATGAAAATGGAACTTTTAATAAATGAACGGAAGAAGTGCTAAAATCACTGGGTAAATCATTCACAACCTGCCCTAGTGGGGAAGTACAATGAATGTCCTATGTCACAAAAAGAAAATACAGCTCATTCTTCCAAGCAGTGAAGTCAATGAAAAGCAATGAAAAGTAAAAGCAAAACCTTTTACTAACTTCAGAGGCCAGAACCTAGCCCCAAACCAGAGGGTTGACATACAGCTCTTCTCTAGGATGTCTCAATTGTGCTTAGAACTGCTTAAAAGCCAAGAGGATTGTTTCTGTCTGGAGGGGCCCAGACTAACTCCGTACACTGGTCATTGGACAACCAGGTTATGTAGGTTATACCAGCTCCAGCTGAAAGCAGCTCTCCCACAGCCAGGTGTGGTGCACTGCTCCCAACTCAAAATTGCCCTGCCTTGACAGTGTCTCGGTAGTAGTGCCACCAAACCAGTTTGGAACTCTGAACCACAGAGTCACAGGATGGCTGAGATGGTCAGGGACCTCTGTAGATTAACTGGCCCAACCCTTGCCCAAGACAGAGACACAGAGCAGGGTGCCCAGGGCCACTTCAGAAGAGCATGTCAGGCCATGTTAATTTCATAGAATCACAAAATGTCTTACGTAGGAAGTGACATTAACATCATCAAGATCCAGCTCTGTTGTGGGCGGGGTTGCCATCCACCAGCTCAGGCTGCCCAGGGCCTCATCCAACCTGGCTTTGAGCACCTCCAGGGGTGGAGCACCCACACCTCTCTGAGCAGCCTGCGCCAGTGCCTAACTGCCCTCTGAGTAAAGAACTTTTTCCTAACATGAAACCTAAATGCCCCCACTTTCAGTTTTAAGTCAATCCCCCATGTTCAGACCATACAAAACCATCCCCACTATCAGACCATACAAAAAGTCAGTCCCCCTCCTGCTTGTAAGCTCCCTTCGAGTACTGGAAGGCTGTGATTATGTCTCCCCAGAGGCTTCTCCAAGCTAAATAAGCCCAACTCCCTCAACCTTTCTTCACAGGAGAGGTGCTCCAGCCCTCTGATCATCTCTGTGGCTCTCCTCTGGACCCGCTCAAACAGCTCTGCGCCCTCCTGTGCTGGGGGCCCCAGGCCTGAACCACAATACTGCAGGTGTGTGGTCTTTTGAGGGCAGAGCAGAGGGGGACAGTCTCACTCTGCTGACCATTGCTCTTTCGATGCAGTCCAGGGTACGGTTGGCCTTCTAGGCTGCAAGCACAATTTGCACGTGGATGGGAAGCTCCGTGGTCAGCACACCACCTTGATGCGGGCACGTCACCACAGTGCTGGCGGCAGTGGACCATGGGCACGAGTGGGGACTGCGAGCACCCGAGGTGGATGTGGGGGTGCGGGTAAAGCCTTGCACGGGGGCTGCCAGCCCACAGAACCTCCCTCAGCAAGTGGGCGAGCGGCCGCCGCTCCCCTCCGGCCACCGGCGACGGGGACACGCGGCCCCGGGCACCGCAGAGAGAGAAGGGACGCGGGCTGCGCGGCACCAGGGCTTCCCTCAGCGCCCGGCGGGACGCGTGAGGCGAGAGCCGCGCAGGACCACACGGGTTAAGTTATGTAAGCCATTTGGGGAGGGGTGGAGGAAAGGGGCGCTGCCGGCGTGGCTGCGGCGGCTCAGGTTGATTGAGGGCGGATGACAGCGGCCTGGCGCAGGCCCGCGGCGGAGGAAAGCGGCTTAGCCCCCTCCGGGTTGCCATGGAGATAGGCGGGCGGCGGCGGGAGCGGCGGCGGCGGCGGCGGGGCTGTCAGTGAGGCTGCACCGGGCACCGGGCGGCGGCGGAGAGGAGGAGGAGGAGGAGGAGGAGGAGGAGGAGGAGGTAGAGGAGGAGAAGGCCGCGGCGGGGAGCGGCGGCGGCAGACATGGACTCGCACTGCGACTGTGCCGAGCCTCCGGCCGCCGAGCAGCCGTCGGGGAAGATTAACAAAACCGCCTTCAAATTGTTCAAGAGGAGGAAATCCGGGGGCACCATGCCGAGCATCTTCGGGGTGAGGAGCAAAGGTGGGGAGGGGAAGGGCGCGAGCAAGACGGGGATGGTGCGGAGCAGGACGCACGATGGCTTGGCCGACGCCGTGCTGGAGAGCGGCAAGAAGGAGGACGGGGGCGGCGGGGAAGCGCCGGGGAAGGATGCTCCGAGCAGGGCGGCCGGCGGCTCCGCCAGCAGCTCGGTGGCCAAATCGCACAGCTTCTTCTCCCTGCTGAGGAAGAACGGGAGGCCGGAGAACGGCAAGGCGGCGGAGAACGCGGAGCAGCGGGCTGGCGGCAGACAAAAGAAGGGGCTGAAAGGGATCTTCAGCGGCATGCGGTGGCACAGAAAGGACAAAAACGGCAAAGAGGAGAGGGGAGAAGCCTCAGAAATCCCGTCCGGTCTTATTATGCCGGGGTCTCTGACCGCCAGCTTGGAGTGCATCAAAGAGGAGACGCCGAAACCTTTGTCTGAAACTCCGAACGGCGCGGGAGACGCCGGTCCCGAGCCGCAGCAGGAGCAGCGTGGCGGAGATGCGTGTGGCTCGGCCGGGGAGCCGGAGGCGGGAGGTGGGCAGTCGTGGGACGGCAGAACTCCCCCCGGAGAGGACCCTGCTGCTGCTGCTGCTGGAAGGAGACTCGAGGAGCTCTGCGGTGAGCGACCGGACCCGGGCGCCGGAGAGGTTGGGACTGCGAAGGATGCGGCCATAACAGGTGACATTCCAATAACGACTATTCCCCCTGTTGAACCTCACTGTGATAGCGGTCAAGAGACGGCAGCCGCCCCTGACCCTTCCTCTGTTGATCCACCCTCAGAGCAATCGATTGATCGTATTTGTTTGATGTTTGCTGACGTGACTTCACTGAAAAGCTTTGACTCTCTTACAGGCTGCGGAGATATTATTGCGGACCAGGAGGAGGATGTGGGCAGCGGGAGTGGCGGCTGCGAGAAGAGCACCCCTGGGACCAGCAAGCTGGGCGCATCCAAGAAGCATCCCACCATGGTTGCCTATCAAGGAGGAGGGGAGGAGATGGCCAGCCCGGACCAGGTGGATGATACCTACCTGCAAGAGTTCTGGGATATGCTGTCACAGACAGAGGAGACCGAGACAGGAGGAGGAGGAGGAGGTGGAGGAGGGACAAAGACAGCCGAGGGGCTGAAGGAGAATCGAGGTACTGAGGGGGCCCAAAACAGGGTGGTGGTGAAACGTGGAGCCCTCAACCAGATCCCCATTCATCTCAACAACAAAGAGGAGCAGAAGGGCAGGGAGAAGGAACAGCATGAAGGTGTCCCAAACAGTGATGAGGGCTACTGGGATTCCACCACCCCTGGTCCTGAAGAAGACAGCACCACAAGCATCCAGAAGGAGACCCTTCCCAGGGACAGCTACAGTGGGGATGCACTCTATGACCTCTACGCTGAGCCTGATGAAAACCCACCAGGAGGACCTCCAGAGGAAGAGGTCACCTGTACGCCACGCTCCAAGCCTGTATCTCCAATAACAACCACATGCTCACTGAAAACGCCCTCAAGCACAGTGAAGGACTCCAAAATACCCATCAGCATTAAACACCTTGCATCGCATCCTGCTAGCCATGGAACAGATACCAGTAACAGCCATCATGTTGCACACCATCACCTGGCCAAAAGTGAAATGCACAGAACAAAAATTCCTGTCTCTAAAGTACTGGTACGCCGAGTCAGTAACAGGGGCTTAGCAGGGACAACAGTGAAAGCTGCCACATACCAGGACAGTGCCAAAAAGTAATTGACGAGCAGGTGGACACAGATATACAGCAAGATCAGTGTGTGAAAATCTGCATAGGAGACCACAAACAAGGTGTTAATTTTGCATTGCCTGAAGGAAGGAACCTAAAAGGCTTATTTCACTATACTATGTAGGCCTGCACTTCTGAATCTGTATGGCTGAATACAAGAAGACAACTTTTCAAGCACTTTTTTTTTTTTTTTTTTTACATTTGTATCTTTTTTCTGCAGCACTAAGTACTGGGGAGGTTCATTTTAACATGCCTTTGTGGAAGCAGAACTTGGATTATGAACCTAAATGAGTATCTTCCCTCATGCAGAGCAGTGCCACATGTTCTTCAAGGGAGCAAGAGTTACAAAAGGAGCGACATAAGAGGTTCCCCACTACACTTATCTCTTAATTGTTCCTGGGGAGGAGAGGGGGGAGGGTGCCTGGCGCCAAAAGTAGTGTTTGGTCTACAAGATGTTGGAGAAAAATACCAAGCAAAAAACAAACAACCTAACAGGTATTTTACCTGATGTAGGAATGAGAGCACTGCTCAGCAGCAGACTTGATTGACTTGAGTGCAGTAGCTAATTAAGGAGTTAGGTGGATTTGTCCAACAGGAAAATCTATTTTTGTTTGTCTGTCTGTTTGGTTCGTTTTGATCTGCTCTAATGTAATTGGGTAACAGAGACACCTGACGTAGGATCAGATGTTTACATCAATACTTGTCCAATAATGCATATAATCAGGTTCAGGGAAACAATTTACTAAATGCCAATATATACACACTGTTCACATTTATACAATAACTTGCTTGCCATTTGTAAATATATACATATTTTAGCAGATTTACTCAATGATACAAATTTTTTTATAGAAAGAAATCACCTGTCTGTATTATCTAGAGTTTAAACAGAAGTTAGTTTTTATAGGTAGATAATTTTACAGTTCTAAAATGATAGAACTTTGTGTAAGTACCTTAAATTAGAGCAAAACTCTGTTTTGTATGGGCTCATGCATCCCCAGTTAAGTAAGTCTGAAGTGCTGATTTAATTCGAGTGGCACATTCCATGTCAGAGCAGAATTTCTGACAGCATTGCCATTGCAAACCTCTATTTTCAGGGGTTTAGACAAAATTGCTCTGGGCTTAAACCTTACAGAGAAGGAACCCAGGAAAGAAACAAGTTTTTTAATTATTATTTTTTAAAATATATAAAATTAGTTTTTGACTATTTAAAGAAAGTCTGGGTTCTTGTTGCTTTTATTTTCATTCTTAATAATAATTTTACTTAAAGAGATGAAAAGAAATATGGTAGGCTAATGGTCCATAAAATGGTCTGACGAGCTTGGATCTTATGAGAAATGTATTAATGGTCAGGATGTTTTTGAATAGTGGCTACTGTACATGGACATTGACAACATTTCCAAGAAATTTAATAGGGTTTTAATGTGCCTGAGGACATATTTTTATGATACACTGAAAAAGCTCCAAAAATCACTGAAGATTAAAAGCGAATATTATGTATTTACAAAATATTTTGATATGAGTATTTAATCATCAGACCACAGTTAATATAAAATATATGCTCCGGTGTATCTTACAAATAATATACATTTTAAGAATATAAGTCTATATTATGCAGAGAATCCTAAATTCAAGTAACTGAAGCTAATGGGTCTGATCTTATATAGCAGTTGGTTTTATTGTCTCTTAAACTGAAAGAAAGAAAAAAAAGGAAAGTAAATATACAAGATATACATTTGAAGGATATTAAGGTTATAGATAAACCATCAAAAGCCAGGAGTAACATATAAGTATGTCTTATATGTGTGGTTCACTGAGGTAATGACCTTATGGTCACAAGAGGAGAATTGGCATCTGGCTCTGCAGTCACTGCAGGACAGAACACCAAGCTGCACCACCCCAGTGACTAGGGAGAAATTGTTCTTTTCTGCTCAGTCCCAGTTTTCATGGTTTGAGTAAGAACCTTAATACACTTCACAGAAGATAATTTTATATGTCTCCTTTGTAACATACATACGTGTGGTTTCCTACATGCCTTCTCACACAGACACGTTGTACATATGCATGCGTAGTCAGAGCGCACCTCCTCCCAGCGTGCATGCACACGGACAGACGTGCACCCTGCACACTCACACCTGTGCAAACATGGCCACGCGTGCACACTCGTACATGCAGACTGAGGGGATGCACCACCAATCTGTTTCACAACACACTGGTGATGATTGCCTGAGAAAGAGGTTTGCATTTGGCCTAACTCTGCTTACGCATTTTAGAAAGTTAAAGCTAAAATACCCTCAAAAGGTTGGATGTACAGAACGTGGAATGTTATCCTAGTGTTCAGCCCTAAGCCTAACATCCTTTTTTCTGTTCTGTTTTCATGTGACTATAAGGAGCGTATCTTTCCTTGCATGACAACTCTGCTAAAAAATCATAATTCTCCATTATGTTTGATGGACAAATTGTACAGGGAGATTCTATAGGGTACTGGAAGTTGAGAGGGAGGGAGGATGCGGTGGGTTTGGGTAATACACAGAATTGAAAGCACTGATTGCAGGAGTATCAGTGGTGCTTCTTTGAATCACTAGAAGGTATCAGCTACCATTTCTGCAGGACTTGTCTGTGGCAAATTATTCATTGTATGCATTTCGTTTGCACTGTGGCGTGTATGTATCGAGAAACCAATTGACTAACAATAGACTAGCTCCCTCTCACCTACTGACTAACAAGATCATTAAAATGCTTTGGCTGCCCTTCATTTTCTCTCTCTGTTTTCTGCCCTGTTTTCCCTCCTTCCCCTGCATGCTGGCTGCTCAGTTCCGACCGCGGTGTGGAGTGGGCAGCCCTGATCTGGAGCCCAGCGTGGGGTGGGAGCACATCTGTGCTCACCTGCCAGGCCAGGTGCTCTCCGGTCATTTCTGTCATGTCCCTGTGTGCATACATCCTGTAGATCCCTTGGTGGTTCGTTTGGCTGCTTGCTATGTACATATTTTAAGGACAATCATATCCTTAAAAGGAAAATGGGAAAGTAACTGTGGTAGGGCGTCAGTGTTTTGAATCCTTGCGACATGCTGACATTGATTCAGGGTAATGGTCGTGTGAGAGAAAAATACAATTTAATGCTCGGATTAACTTTATATTTATAAAACTCACTTTTGTCTTTAAGCCATCTATGTTAATATTTCAAAAGGTAATTGAAAATGTAATATTTACTACGGCTTTCAATTTTCATGGAAATATTTGTATAACTGCACAATGCCTGAAACAATCACTGAAAGGAAGTTCAAAGGCTTTCTTTACACCTATATTTAATTCCTGAAGGATCCCTGTAAAACACTGTGAGATGCCCAATAACAAACAGTTAATGGCTTGCTGGATTTAAAAGCTGAGACACATGGAGGTAGAAATCCTGAGGCATTCTGTGGTGCTTTGCATCCTTATTTATATTACTGTGTTCAGGCATATATTTTCCTTGGCTTCAGTAGGTATCGAGGTAGAAGTGGTGTTCTGAGTCCCAAAGACAACGTTCCCCATTCTGTAACTGTTTCTATTTTCTTAAAGAATACTTTTGTTTATTTGTTTTCTTTGTTGTTTTGTGGTCCAAGTGATGCTTTGTAATTACCAGCTTGTATGTCATTCACAAAGGATTTTATAGATCAGAACTTGACATTCGTTCTATATACTCTTTGCACTTCCAGGTCACTGCTGATTTTGTATGTTCTTAGGCTGTTTCTATATATTGTGTAGCGTTTTTAGCTATCTACTGTGATTTCAGTGGTATACATTCCTGTCCTATATATATCAGCACAAGAGATTTCCCTTTTTTAGCATGAAATGATGTTTTTGTGGACTTCTTTTGTCACAATAGGAATTATCTGTACTACACGTGTGGCCTGCACCAGACATAAAGGCTCTTACATTACCTGTACTGCATTTTGCTCTTGCCAGCAATAGGACTCAAATCCATGTAATAGATTTCAGAAGAAATTACATGACTAGAATAAGAAACATCTATGTTCATTATTACTCCATCAATCACCAGCACTTCCTTCATCCACTGTGAACATCCTTACCATCATTCAGGGTAGTAGAGGTCTGAATTTTAAAAATTACGTGCACAGATGTACACTATGAAAATTAATTCACTGATTATTTTTTAATGAATCTCTTACTAAATTATTTATCTAAGCTAAGCGAATATTGCACCAAAGTCTTCAAAACATCTGATACAGATGGCATTTTCAGTAAGATGCTATCGGTGCAGATGAGCCAAATTAACAGCCTTTGCTTAGCAAAGCAAACCCTAGTTGTTTTTTAGATTTGTAGCACTGAACGAGCTTGCAGATCAAAGGGAGCCATTGATTCTGCTACGTGGCCATGCTCTGAGGTTTTTTTTTTTTGCCTGCTCTAATGGACTACTTTTAGAAAAGGCTTTCCAGCAAGATAATGGTACAGACAGTTCACGGTAACAATAGCCACTTATAAAGCACATGGTTATCTAACAGTGATAATGGAGGACTTCAGGCAAGGTGGCCTGGAAATGTATTTTCATAGTTATCGATATGAAAGTCTACGTCTTCTGTCTCAGAAAAGCAATTTGACAACAATTAAAGATGTTGCAGTATTGACTCTTGGCAGAGCTTACACGTGACAGTTTCCGCAGTATTTTTTTTCTAATTTTGGCTTTCCCCTTTTTCATTTTGATTTTGGTTTATGCTTTGTTTCTGTTTGTTTTGCTTTGTTTACATTTTCAATACGATGACATAACCCTGTTTGTCCTGCCAGAACTGCACAACAACCGACTCATCTGAGAGCTGCTGCCACTTGTCCTTTGGTAGCCTGGGACTGCTCCCCGTGCAGCATCCCTCCCTTCCACTGTGGGCTTCCCTTCTGATGGTTCACGTGCTGTTTGCTGTGAGCAGAAAGCATCCAAATCTGTTGCACTGGTTGCTTTCAGAGGTAGTTGATTTTTAGTCTGACTCATGGAAATTTTTTAGATTGTCTTTAGCTCGCATCTTGTCTTCCATGTGAGCATCTTGGTTGGAATGGTCAGTGTTGATTTGGTGTTTTCTAGGTCCATTATTTGTAAAGGGAAACAGAAGAACCTGCCTTATGCAAAAGGATATGCCATATGCAAAGAGCTATAACCACTCAAGCCACAACCTGGGGGCCTTTACTCCTTCAAAAGCAAGTTGTTAAATCTCTTCCTACCTTGGGGAGCTTCTCCATCCAAGCCTATTGCCTAAGAACACTTTCTCCAACCCCCCCAACCCCCCTCCCTCCCCCGTCTCTTGTTCTCACTCAACTATACTGCACTTGGTTGGTTGGGAAATGGAGATTTTTGCCCTACCCCTCCATCACACAAAAGGAGGAGCTGCTGCCAATGTGATCTTCAAAAGGGCTTTACTCCTTGGTATGGAAAAAATGAATTTGCCTTCAGAATAAGCAGAACAGATACTTAAAATGTGCTGTGTGATCTCATACATGTGGGTGAGGATGTTGAGTGATATTTTGCAGAGTGGCACATATCCTTCCACTTCTCTGCTGTGCACAATTTATCAAATCTAGCAGGGAAGCATGTCACAAGCCTGGAGGCTGTTTGTTATGGAGGCAGTTCCCAGATTTTTTTTTATCTTTGGTAAGAGCTGCTTTTCTTTTTCCTTTCTGTATATGTTTAAATAAATAGAGCCAAAGGTGTACTGGAGAGGGGAAAAGGTTCTATACTTCACAGAGCAAGGAAAATAAACTGTTCTGTTAAGAATTCTTATATCAGTAGCTAAAGGAAGATTGCTTTGCCTGTAATATCACATCCAAGTGATGCTCTGAGGTAGAAGCTAATGCAGGTATGGCCACAAAGTTAGAAAAGTGGCATCTGCCAACACAGTCTGACAATCTATTTCTAAGGCCCAGTTCTGCTGTGGCGAAGCTTCCACTGACTCCAGTAAGAGCTGGAGAAGGTTCTTAATCCCTTAATCTTGAAGGAAATAGAAAGTGTTTCTTAAATAAGTCTTCCCTTTTTTAGAAGATAAACATTATTCAGGTGATTGTGCAGTCTTTAATATTAGTGTAGTTATACTTCCACTGATTTGAATGCAAAACATGTCTTTCTATTGTTTTTCCATTTTAACAAGCAGCCACTTCTGTA